TTTACGCGGATCCCAGCCATCCCGCCCGGCCCCTCGGCTGCAGGCACAGCAGACACATGGAAGATGCTCAGCCTGCAGCCCAGGACCTGCAGCGGGACCCCCGAGCCCTGCCCGTGCTGAGGATTCAGCCCGGGCTGCTTCAGCCTCTGCCTCGCATGGCCCGGGGACTGTCCCAGGGCTGTGTCCCCCGGCTGCTCCCTTGGATAAGGACACAGGCGAGCAGGGAGCTGCAGGGCTGACAGCTCCGATAAGGCACCACAGGGAGGGCAGTCCCCAGGCTGGTGGCATCATGGGCATTGTCCCCAGGCCAGTGGCACTGCAGGCATCCCACCCTGTCCATGGCTCAAGTTTGTGGTCAAGGCCATCGGATCACAGAATGGTTTGGGCTGGGAGGGACCTCAAACACCATCTCGTTCTGACTAATCCTAATTCTAATTAGAGAATTATGTATATTGTGTGGGGGGGAGGGGGGGGGGGGAAAGACAACCCTACCAGGAACAATTCCTAATTCCCAGTGTCCCATCCAGCCCTGCCCTCTGGCAGTGGGAGCCATTCCCTGTGTCCTGTCCATCCCTTGTCCCCAGTCCCTCTCCAGCTCTCCTGGAGCCCCTCCAGGCCCTGCCAGGGGCTCTGAGCTCTCCCTGGATCCTTCTCCTCTCCAGGTGAGCACCCCCAGCTCTCCCAGCCTGGCTCCAGAGGGGCTCCAGCCCTGCAGCAGCTCCGGGGGCTCCTCTGGGCTCTCTCCAGATGCTGCTGCTGTTGACCCCAGGGCTGGGGCAGCTCTGAAATAGGATCTCATAAGCATTACATACATTTTATATATTTTCATTTATGTTTTTAAATCTGCTCTCAAATAAACACCTCAGTTTCATTATCTCTACTGCAACAACCATCAAATCCTGGGCTTCACTCCACGCTCCTTCCTCTCTGCTTTCCAAACACTCTTCCCACTCCATGCATTTCTGGGAGACAAAATGAATCCAGATTAATGATTTAACGTCCCCCCTGAGCTCCCTGCTGCCCACAGCAGCACCAGTGAAGGTCACTGTGACTGGGGGCTGAACCCCCCAGCTCCCTGGTTCCATGTGCGTGGCTGGGGCTGCTTTGGGGAGGTCCAGCCCTCCCTCTGCTCACAGCGGAGGGAAAACCTGGGAAACAGGGAACTTCCCTGCGGGAGGCAGCGCGGGGCTGCTGGCTGCCCCCAGCACGGCACAGGGAGAGGATTCCTGGCGGTGCAGGACACTGCTCCCTCGTGGAAGTGCCACTCGTGTGCTGCTTTATGGCCCCGCGCTGCCAGTAAATGGACAAAGTTTGTTTTTATTTCAGTGCAGCTCTCTCTGTCCCCGTTCTGGACTTTGCCCGGTGCTGCCCGGCCGGGTGATTCCCACCAGGAATGCCACGTGTGCCCGGCATGGCCAGGGTGGGAAAAACGCCTGTGCCTGCAGGGAGGAGGGATGGAGAGCTGCATGTGGGGCACAGGGAATGCCCCTGCCAGGGGCAGCTCAGCTTTCTGCTGCCCTGGCAGCCCAGCAGGGGCTTGCTGGGGAAGGAAAAGATATTCCAGCAGGAAATACCCTCCAGCAGAAGGAAAAGATATTTCAGGTGTTTACCCAGGGTGGTGGGACATGGGTGATCCATGAACTCACAGAATCCTGGGGTGGTTAGACCTCGTCCATCCCTTGGGGAGCAGGCAGGGACACCTTCCCCTGTCGCAGGCTGCTCCAAGCCAGCTTTGAGCACTCCCAGGAATGGAGCAGCCACAGCTGCCAGGGTCTCACCACCCTCACAGCCAAGAATTTCCTCCTAATCTCCAATCCCCATCTCCCCTCCCTCAGTTTAAAGCCACCAAAGCACTCGCTGGTGCTCCCTGTTTGCAGAGCTCCTGCTGCCAGCCCGGGACTCCCGGCTCCCTCCCAGCGATGTTCCAGCGCCACGGAGGGCCGCAGGAATGTGCTGAGTGCGGGCAAACCGGCTGGGATAAACACATCCCAGGCCCCCCAGCCCCCTGCCCTCCCACCTTTGGGGAGCCAGCCCCCAGGCAGGAGCCTGCAGAGCAGCTTGTGCCGGGCGAATGTCCGTGCCAGGGCAGTGCCAGCCCTGCTCCGTGCCGCCGAGCCGGGCTCCCGGCTGCACTGCCGTGACCCGGGCGGTTGGGAAAGCTGCTGGCACCGTGCCCAGCTCCGGAGCCAGAGCCAGGCGGGCCCAGGCTTCCCTAGGGCTGCCCAGAGCCAAACCCTGCACGGCAGCAGGGCTGGCTGCAGCTGAACCCCGCTTTTAGCTCTACCAGGGACGGAGGGACTCCGAGGAAAACGGGGGAAATGTGGTTTTGCTCTTGTGCTGCCAGCGCTGGAGGGCACCTGGCAGGGATGGTGGCAGGGCAGCGGGATCCCGGGGCAGTGCCAGGCAGTGCCAGGCTCCTGCCCTGCTCCTCGGGCAGGCAAAGCCGAAATTCCCTGGGTGCCAGAGGCCGGGGGAGCTGCTCCTGCCGGGCTCGGGGCGGGATGCCCCGCTCCGGGAAGGTGGATGTGCCTGGGCGCTGCGGGAGCTGGGCCGCGGGGGCAGCTCGGTGACACGGAACGGGTGGCACCGGGAATGTGCAAGCTGGCGTTTGCTCTGCCGCTGCCCGCGGGATCCAGCAGATCCGGAGGGGCTGGGGGCGCTCGGTGGCCCTGACACAGCAGCGAGGGGTGCCCGGGGGAGCTGGGGTGTCCCAGCAGGCGGACACGGCGGGATTCTCCACGGCAGAGGGATGGCCGAGGGGCCGGCGGGGCTGGACAAAGGTCCCGGGAGGGACGGGACAAGCAGGGAAACAAGGGAGAGGATCAGGGACAGCCGAGCGAGGGACAGGGAGCGGCAGCCCCTGGCTCTGCTCCGGGGCTCTGGGGCCGGGACCACCCCGAGGCAGCCCCGGGAAGGGCCCTGGCCGGCTCCGGCACGGATGGGGCTTTGTCACCTCTCGCTGACACTGTTTGATGGTTGGTCTCATTCCCAAAAACTGAAATTAAACAACTTGATGCTCTTACGTGCAGGAAGCACCTCCGCAGCCGGCCCAGACCTCCTCCCCCATCGAGGGCTCCAGCGGGCATCTCCCACATCCCTGGGGTTAACCCTTTGCTCTCCGGGCTGCCTGCGCCCACGGGCAGCCCAGAGAACATTTGGGGTGAGGAACTGCCGGGTGGGGGGAGAGCTGAGCCCCCCGGCAGAGGCTGAGCCCCCTCTGAGCCCGACACAGCTCCTGTCCCCCGACTCTGCCATGCCAAACACGGTTGGGAGGGCAAGCCCAGCCTAGAGAATGATGAAAGTCAGGATTAAAGGGCAGGGGGGGAGCAAAACACCCCGGCCGCTTTTGGCAGGCGATGAAAGGGAGGTTCAGCAGCAGCTGCCAGCTGGGAGCTGACGGAGGGACAACTGCGGGGCCGGCTCCATCCCGGGCAGCCGCGGCACATCCCGGCACGGCCACCCCTGTCCCCCAGCAGGGCCGAGGCTCCCCGCATCCTGCTGCTCCTCGGGACAAGGGACAGCCGGGAAAACTGCGCCGGGCCGGGAAAGGCGCGGGGACAGCGCGGTGTCAGAGCGCTGCCCCGGGAGCTGCCGCCGGCCGGGAGGGAGGGAGGGACAGGAGAGGCTTCAGCTGCTCCCCAGCTGCCTCCGAGACAGATTTAGCTCGGGGCCGGCACAGATGGGGCTGCGGGGCCGGAGCCACGGGCGGAGCCCTGGAGCCCGCAGTTGCTAATAGAGATACAGCAAATTAAGCGAACTTAATTCGGAGGGTCACCACACAATGCCCCCACCTGTTCTGCTGCGGTCCGGCCATCTGCCACCCCTCCACCTGATGCAAAAAGGGCTTTTCTGCTTTTCTCCCCATGCTGTGGGCTCCCTTGAGCCGTGCCGTGCAGGACGGGCAGAGCCGGGCCGGGGGACAGAACAAACCCCCGGGAGCCCACACAGCCGGGGGCACAGAAATCACCCTCTTTATCCTGCTGCAGAGACGCTTTGATAAGCCCCTGGAGTGTTCCGGGGCGGACAGGACATGGAGCAACCTGGAGTGGTGGGAGGTGGTCCTGCCCATGGCAGGGGGTGGCACAAAGCCATCCCGAGGGTCCCTCCCAACCCAAACCATTCCAGGATTCTGTGATGTCTCATCTCCCAAACGGCCAGCTCAGGGAGGCAGGAGGCAGGAGCTGGCACCACTCTGCACTCTGTGCTGTGGAAAACGGCTCCTGGTGCTCAGGAGCTGCAGGAAAACACTGACACAAGCCAAACTCTAAAGCACACTCTGTGAAAATCCGTGTGAGGGACCACCAAGGGTCCCAGTGCAGCCCGTGGAGCCAGTGGGAATGTGCCAGCCAGCAGCCAGGTTGGGAAAGAGCTCTGGCACCGGCTGGGGAGGATGGAGGGGTTTGGGTGCAACAGCTGAGAAAGCTTTGACACAGCAGCCACCAGGAGCAATCCTGCCCGGAGGTCTCAGGGCTGACACGGGACATCTGGAGCGGGAGCAGCTTCCCGGAGAAGCACCAGGTTCTTGGAAAGGGAGAGATCACAGAGCCACAGGCTGGTTTGGGGGATGAGGGACCTTAAAGATCACCCAGTGCCATCCCTGCCATGGCAGGGACACCTTCCCCTGTCCCAGGGTGCTCTAAGCCCTGTCCAGCCTGGCCTTGGGCACTGCCAGGGATCCAGGGGCAGCCACTGTTGTTGTTCCAGTGGCAAACACTGGCCCTGCGTTTGAGGGCTGCTGAGGCTGAGGGCAGGGGAGCTCCCTGCCAGGAGCACTGCAAGAGGGCAACCCCCGCGGGGACAGGGAAGGCAGAGAACGGCATCCCAGCAAGGAGGGATTCTGCCCCTCCCAGGTGAGGCCCCACCTGCAGAAGCGGGGCCGGGCCCGGTCGCGTTCAGTAACCCGTGGGCGTGGTCTCATTTGCATGAGCCAATGGCAGCGGGCTATGCAAACGAGTGCGGCGCGGGTTGGCCGGGGCGGGCGGGGCCGCGCGCGCGGGGCGCCTTTGTCCGGCACGGGCGGCGGGGCCGGAGCGGCCGGAGCGGCCGGAGCGCGGTGTCCGAGCGCTGCCCGCTGTCCGAGCCCCGAGCGGTGCCCGCCCTGCCCGCTGCCTGTCCGAGCCCTGAGCGGCCGTGTCCCCGTGATGACTCTGGAGGAGCTGCCCGGGGAGCGCCGCGCCGCCGGGAGGTGAGGCCGGGGGGGCGGCGGGGGCCGGGCGGGGAGCGGCGCGGGGTGGCCGGTGACGGCCGGTGCCGCGTGTCCCGGCGCAGGATGGAGCAGGCGGGGGACGCGCTCGAGGAGGTGCTGAGCAAGGCGCTGAGCCAGCGGAGCCTCACCCTCGGCGTCTACGAGGCGGCCAAGCTGCTCAACGTGTGAGTGCCCCCCCTCCCCGTGCCCCCGGTGCCCGCTGCCCGGTGCGCCCGCGGTGACGGCGGTGCCCCGCAGGGACCCCGATAACGTGGTGCTGTGCCTGCTGGCTGCCGAGGAGGAGGAGGCGGGGGACGCGGCGCTGCAGATCCACTTCACGCTGCTGCGGGCCTTCTGCTGCGAGAACGACATCAACATCCTGCGCGTCAGCAACCCGGCGCGCCTGGCGGAGCTGCTGCTGCCCGCCGCGGGCCCCGACCCGCCCGCCGACCTGCACTGCGTGCTCGTCACGGTGAGCCCCGGCCGCCGCCGCGGGGGGACAGCCGCGGCTCCCCGGCGCCGCTCGGGACCCCCCCGAACCGCCGCGCCCGGGGCTCGAACCCGCGGCCCCAGCGAGGGGCCCGCGGTGCCTCCCGCGCCCCGGGAGCGCCGGCTGCGCTCGCCCCTCGTTCGCTGTGTTTTCCCCATCTTCCTCCTTTGTTTCTCCCCTCTTTCTCCTGTTCTGGCTTTTCTTTCCTTAGTTTTCCTCCTTTCCCCGCTCCGTCTTCATTTTTCCCCCCTTCCCTCGTTGTTTTTCCCTTTTTCTTTCCCCCTGTTTTTCTCTCCCTTCCCCCCCTTTTATCTCTCCTGTTTTTTCCCCCCCTTCCCTACTCTGCCCCAGAGTCCAAAGCTAAACTCCTCACATGCTCCCAGGCCTGACTTGTTTGTTTGCCTCGCCAGCAATTTAAGATGATTCACACTCCTGCTCTTTCTGCTGCGCTCCCCCCACCCCCCCGCGCCGCTCTCGGCTTGTTTTTGCTGCCGTGCTGGAGCTTTTTGCCGTCCCCTTTCCAGAACCCGCAGGCGTCGCAGTGGAAGGACCCGGCGCTGAGTCAGCTGATGTGTTTCTGCCGGGAGAGCCGGTACCTGGACCAGTGGGTGCCGGTGATCAACCTCCCGGAGCGGTGACCCGCGTCCCGCAGCCGCAGGACTCTCGCTCAGGAAGGAACTCCCTGCCCCGGCTCCGGCAGGGGAGGGAGGCAAAATAAAACCCGACGGCAACAGCGACAAAAAAAAAAAAAAGAAAAAAGAGAAAAAATAGATATAAAATAATAAAGCTCACACTGATGTCATTTGGAGGGGTTTGGCTGGAGCTGAGCGTGGGAGCTGTGGAAAAGAGGGATGAGCCCAGCCTGATGCCCTCCCCAGAGCTCCCCTCACTCCTTCTGTCCTTAAGTGCCACTTAAAGTTCCTGCTTTAAACACCTTAACGAGCAAACAAGGTTAATCGAGGCCTTTTGCCAGCAATGTTGTTGTATTTTTGGGATGTAATTCTCACGTTTTTATGCTAAGATATATAATAATAATAATAATAAGTTATTTTCTGATATCGATGGGAAAATTATTTATACTTGGAGGTCTGAGAACCGAAACGCCCTCGAGCAGTTGGTCTGCAACCACGAATCTTCTCCCAGCTGGCTGCAAAAGCAGCACCATTAATATAATTGTTTGAAATTCGAGTGTTTTCTGGGGTTACGGTGTTCTTGTTTTGTGTTTTCTTTTTTTTGAAATAAAGCGTAAAATCAAACCTTTGGCCCAGGCTTTGATTTCCTCACTCCACGAGTGCAGACACAAGGGCTGAGCAGCAGCTGCTTCCTCCTCCTGGCCGTGGGCAAGGTCCTGTTGTGCAGCTCCAGTGTGGGTTCATTCCCGGCCCCTCCCAAGCAATTAAAACGCTGGAGCAGCCCATGTGCTGCAGGAAATGTTGGGAATGTTATTTATTTATTTATTTGGCTTGAACGCTGCCACAACAGCAGCTAAAAAAATATTAAAATTTAAAAAAAAACTGGGCTTTGCTGCCGATGTTTCCGTGCTCCTGCAGCTTCCCCCTTGGCAGGGGAGATCCTGATTCCCTGGGGGAGGAAAACCTGGCCCGGGATTTGGGCTCTCTGGCAGCTCGCAGCTCCTCTCCAGTGCCACAGCCAGGCTGGCACAGATGGCATTTCTCCGTGCGGCAGGACAGGACAATGCCCCTGCTGCCGGCGGTGCCTGGGGACAGCGGTGACACACGCTGTCCCTCCCCAGGCCACCCCGCTGTGCCCAGCCCGGCCAGGACGGGAGGCTGGACCTGTTCTCCCACTCCTGGGATGCTCCAGCACGAGGCCACCCTGTCCCTGTCCCTGTGTCCAGCCCGGGTGCCACCCTGTGCCCGGGGACACTGCAGCAGCAGCAGCAGCAGCAGCAGGTTTATTTCTCCAAGCTCAGACTCAATCCCAACCCCTCTGGTTTCTCCCAGTGTCACCCCCAGCCCTGTCCCCACACCACAAAGTGGGGGGTCCTGGGGACACCTGGCCCAGCACAAAAATTCTCATTTTTTCTCCCCAAATCAGCACACAAATTCTCATTTTTCTCCCCAAATCAGCACACAAATTCCCATTTTTCTCCCCAAATCAGCCAGCTTGGCCAAGGACTAGAGGGGCAGCCCAGTGATGCACCGTGGTGGGGTCTCACCATGGGCTTCTCCCAGCACCTCTGGATGCAATGGTTTAATTTCTTCTTTAAAAAATCAGCAAGGGCAGAGTCTGCACCTCCCCAGATTTTACCACCCCTGTTCATCCTGGGGGTATTGATGGCAAAAAGCAAAGTGCAGACGTAACCACTGCAGATCTGAGTGTACACTGCATTTTAAAAATGACAAGTTCACCCAGAACCCCTGGATTAAACGCTGCCAGATGTGGGCAGCTGTGCTGGATCATCCAGATCCCACATCTGGACCAGCACCCTGCCACGAGCTTCACCCAAGGGCAGACACCAAAACACCCCTGCAGCCCCACCAGGGACCTCAAACCAAACCAAAAAAATTCCAATTTCTTCCCAGATTCCAGGGAAAACAAGCAGCAGCAGCACGAGGCTCCTTGCCTCCCCGCAGCTGGGCACAGCTGGACTGCCCTCAGCCCCTCCCTGAGCAATTAACAGAGCTCATTAATTGTCACCAGGGCTGTGGCAGACACAGACACGGCGAGGAGGAATCAGTGCAGAGCCACGCTGTTGGTTTTTTTTTTTTAACTGCCACTAGAAAAATACTCTGATTACAAAAATAATTGGCAGGCAAGCCCAGGGTAAGCAGCAGGTTTCTCTGTCAGGCTGATTTTTGGAGCTCTGCCAAAGAGATTTGTCAAACAAAGCTGAATTTTTTTTTTATTCTGTATCAAAAGTGGGTCTGTGGTTTCATCTAGAAATGACAAATGTGCAAGGTAAATGACAAGAGGTTCATGAATTCTGCAAATATCCTCCCAGAGATGCAGGGCTATGGCAGAGGACTGCAGCTGCCTGCACAGAGGGACATTTGCAGCCAGCTGAAACCAGGATTATTTTTGAACCCTTCAAAATTTGCTGTTAATGTATAAAGTTTATATATCTACACACACACACAGAGAAAGACTTTTTTATTATGTGTATATATAAAATATATACTAGATGGAAAGGCCCTCAATTATAGATGCATAACCACAAGCTGGAGCTAATTTGGCATTTTTCCTGTTTAAAAATGGATTTTTTTATAAAAATGAGTCAAGTTCTGACTCCCTGCTCAGAACCCAGCTGGGACTGGGAGCGAGGGCAGCTCTGCCAGGGCACTTCCAGCCTCTCTTTCTTTTCTCATTTCTTTGGGGGTGTGTTTTCTACTAACACAGCTGTTTTATTCGAGAAGGAAACGCAGCAGAATCCCAGCTGGAAATTCTGCTTTTCCAACTGATGGAAAGCAGGGAAAGCATCTCTGATTCCCAGCTCTGTCCTTTGAAAGCCCTGGGATGAGAGGCCAGCGGGAGGAAGGCTGAGGCAGAGCTCCCTGGAGCTCCCCAGCAACTGCTACAATCATTTTGCAAGGTAGATTTTGCTAGAAAATGCACTTTAAGCGTGCCTGTGCACAAACAGGTGCTGCCAGCACAGGCAAAACCCCCCTCCACCCCCCCCCCCAAAAAAAAAAATCCATAATTTTATAAAATGTAAACCCAGTGATTCCATCAGGTCTCTACAGCTTTGCTTCATCTGCAAAGCTCAGGCAACTTTGGTCGTGCTGGAGTTGGCAAATGCCACCAGGACCCCCGTGCAGAGAGCCTGGAGCCCATTCCCTTGGCCAGGACAGACAGGGCTTGAGTCAGAAAGCTCCTAAGGGGGACAGGGATCAGCAGGAATGCCGTGGGGAGCTCAGGGAATGCTCTGGACAGGCTCAGGGAGTGCCCACGGGGTGCAGGTACCTGGGGGAGTGGTGGTGCTTGGCCCAGCTGGGCTGCAGGGGCCGGGCAGGAGGAGCTGCCCACAGCTGTCCTATAACAAAATGCAGGTTTTCTTGTCCTTGAAGGGGTTCTCAGAGGCTGGAATTCCCATGAGCAACGGGTCCTTCTTGGCGTGCTCCTCGCAGTACAGCATCAGGTCAGCCGAGGCCTTGGACACCTGCAGGGCACGGGCAGCAGCACAAGGGGGTTTGCCAGGGAAATGGCACCAAAAACGCCAAAACCCCCTTAGGGCTGTGGGGTGGGAGACAAAGGGGGTTTGCCAGGGAAATGGCACCAAAAACGCCAAAACCCCCTTAGGGCTGTGGGGTGGGAGACAAAGGGGGTTTGCCAGGGAAATGGCACCAAAAACCCCAAAACCCCTCAGGGCTGTGGGGTGGGAGAGCTGCAGGGCATGGGGGAGCAGCACAAGGGGGTTTGCCAAGGAAATGGCACCAAAAACACCAAAAACACCTCAGGGCTGTGGGGTGGGAGAGCTGCAGGGCACGGGGGAGCAGCACTAGGGGGTTTGCCAGGGAAATGGCACCAAAAACACCAAAACCCCCTTAGGGCTGTGGGGTGGGACACAAAGGGGGTTTGCCAGGGAAATGGCAAACACCAAAAACACCAAAACCCCTCAGGGCTGTGGGGTGGGAGAGCTGCAGGGCATGGGGGAGCAGCACAAGGGGGGTTTGCCAGGGAAATGGCACCAAAACCACCAAAACCCCTCAGGGCTGAGGGGTGGGAGAGCTGCTGGGGATGCACTCTCCTCCAGGTGTGATCCCCAGGGAATGGGGGCAGGATGGAGCCCGGGGCTGTGACACCAGGCAGAGAAGCATCCACCAGGCTCCCACAACAGGAGGGGCTTCACAGACCACCAGAAACCAGCTATTTCCTAACTACAACACACTCCAAGTGTTTCTTAACCTATCAACTTTTACCACACCATGCCATAAATACCTTAAAGCCAATCATCTAAAATTACCCCTCATGAGCCCACCTTCCATAATTCTGTATCTCCAAAGGACCTGGTCTTTTTTACAAAACCACCCTTTAGAACTTGTTTCTAGCTCCACTTCTCTCTCAACAATATCTATCCTATTCCATTTCTAAATCAGCATTTCTTATCTCAAAGTCTGCATACAAACACACACTGTGTGAACTTTCTGTCAGTTTAACATTTCTCTACAAATCCATTTCCCACAGGGCTTCAAAATCATTCCAGGGGGATTTTTCATCTCTCCTGGAGGGACAGGATGAGGGGGAACAGCTTCCCACTGCCAGAGGGCAGGGCTGGGTGGGATACTGGGCCACAAGAATTGGATTTTTTTATTATGATTTATTACTATTTATTTGGATTTGTTGAGCTTTGCGGGGAACAAACGCCGAGCCGTGGGTGCACAAAGACACAAAAGCCACACGGACACGCTGTTCTCTCCCTGTCCCACAGCCAGCAGGGGAAAAGCAAGGAGAAGGAGGGGGCAGAAGGCTGTGCCCACCTTTATCCTCTCGATGGAGGCCTCGATGCGGAGCTGCTGCACGGTCCTGCGCGCCTGGGCGATGTTGTTGGTGGTGGTGGCTGCTTTCCCTGACATTTTCAGCGGGCAGGGAAGCTCTGCTTGGAAAGACAGAGGTTGTTATTCCAGCAGGCAGCACAGCAGCCTGGACTGCTGTTACACAGAGGCACCCACTGCACGCTGCAAAAAGTGATTTTTGAACGTTATTGTTATTGCTTCCAACAGGACAATTCAGCCAAAAAAACAGCTCTGGAGGTAAGCATGCTGCAGAGAAAGGCATGGAGCTGCTGTGCTGTCAGACTAGGCCCTTTCTGACCCAGAGATGGGGCAACTGAGAGGTTTCTTAAAAACTTTTATTCCATTTTCAGCCCCATGAGAAGGCTGAGACAACACAGATGCTGGAATTCACGCCACCACAATCAGAAGCTGGCTGTTTTATATGTTTGAGAATTCTCTACAAATTCATTTCCCACCTTGTGCAGGTTTCTGAGGCTGTGGCACAGCTTGGGCCACTGGATCCCCCCCTGTGCAGCTTCCCCTGGGCTTCCAGGGGGTTCTGGAAAGCCACAAGGTCCCTGGGAGCTGTCCCAGGGGAGGGGACAAGCTCCTGAGCCCAGAAGAGTGAAAGCAAGCAGCCAGGATGGAAGCACAGGATACTGGGCTTGGAAAATCCCTCTGAGCCCATCCAGTCCAACCACGGCCAGCACTGCCAACCTGTGGCCCCAAGTGCCACATCCCCAGGGCTTTAAATCCCTCCAGGGATGGGGACTCAGCTGTGCCAGGGCTGGAGAGCCTTTCTG